GTAAGAAACCTTTAGAAGATGTTCTGTCTTACGGCTACACCACATTGATAAACCGGCCAAATATATCAACTGTTGATGACGTGTTTGACGTACAAGGCTATAGCTTCTTCACGAATGGAATCCGAGCACCGCAACAGCTAGGGGTTCATTAGTAAGATATCAATATACCATTATTAAATCTAAAAGAAATTCTGACAATTGAAAAATATATTTTTGGCTTTAAGTTACATAAGTTACTTGCAAACGATTGATGAGTCGTTGAAAACAATCAAATACTGATTACCTACACAGACGATTTTTTTATTTATATTCTCTAGAATATAAATGTATAAAAATTACCATGGTCATAAAATGAGGGATCATTTTATATATTGGTTGTAATATAGAATTGATCTCTCACATTATATATATATTATAATTTGTTGGATGTTTATTAAAGTCAGATCCTTCCTGGGTATGACGAAAACTTACATCTGCTTCTGGGGTAAAGATAATAAAATACATCCAACAGAAAGGCCTCCAATCAGGAGTCTTTGTGGAGGTTGGAACCGCCTCTTAATTGCTGGTATCGATAGGTCCACCCTCAACCAGGGTGGTAGCACCTGTTAGGGTCCCAACTATGGGCAAATAGTTAACTCCTCAAACAGTAGTAAAATGTCTAAGAAAGTGTAAAAATAGGTTTTAATACAGCAATACATTTTTATAAAAAAATAATACCGGCAATAAATTTCTGAAGAAAAATATATTACCAGCAATACATTTTTGGAAAAATATTAACAGCACTACATCTTTGGAAAAAATATTACCAGAAATACATTTTTGAAAAAAAAAATATTACCAGCAATAAAAAGCTTGCCGGTATTAAACAACCCATTGAGGTTGATATACCGTAAAACAAAACAAAACAAACCAAAGTCTGATTAGTTATGACGCCATCTCTTCTTCCCCCTAGCTATGGGTTAATTAATAAGACTTGCATCAATAAATCATTCAATATTAAAGATGGTTCAGAGATGTTCCTTGTACCGTCCATTCCATGATCTTTATTTACAAGATTCAGATTGGACCGAAGATAGATAATTGCTTACATATATATGCTAGAGTTACCCTATCCTCACTTCTCAGCTACGTAACCTGTAGTTGGAAAATTGCCTTCCACCCTACAACTCCTTTCTCAAAGACGAAATGTCACACGTATATATATATATATATATATATATATATATATATATATAGTGCTGTTCGATAAAAGAGACTCACCTGATATTTTTTTTTTTCGCCTATTGTTTTTGGGGTGAAACTAATTTTTAATCTTACTAATATAAAGACCCCTTCCTGATCACCTAGTAAAAAATTTTACTCACCCTAACGTATTCTATTGATAATTATAATTTTGGATATAAATGAGATTTATAGATTTCCTGCAACTAGTAATCAATAGAAACATAACCGAACAGCTTTAAATAAAGAATAATAGATTTATAATTTATTTATAATAGGTAATATAGTTCGAAATATTTAATAATCTATGGGTCCTCCTTTACTTTGAATAACCTTTTCAACCCTTTTTGGCATTGACTTGATTAGGTTCTGGCATTGACTTGATTAGGTTCTGGCATTGAATTCCATTCGGATATAAAATTCACAATCACATCCTCTTTGTTGCTTTCTCGAGAGCCTGTACTTTATGATGCTCCATAAGTTTTCTATGGGGTTAAGGCCAGGAGATGTAGGGCAGCCAGATCATAACACTCACCTGCTTCTCATTAAAGTATTCCTTCATCAATTTTGATTTGTGACAGGGAGCATTATCCTGCATAAAAATGAGCTTGATAGGGTCGATTTGCATCCTTTCAGCAGAAGGGAGCAGACAAGACTCTAAAATTCCCTTATACTGCTCGCTCCTGAGGGTCTTTTCAATAGGTTTTAAAAAGAAACCAGTTCCATGAAAAGAAAAGCATCCCCAGAACATTATACTGAACGGATGCTTGACCGTACTTACTGCTAAATTCAAAGAGCTTTCAAAGCTGCTTCTTCGGATTTTAGATCGCTTATCCTTTGAATTTAGCTCACCTTTCGTTTCATCGGAGAAGAGAACATTCAGTAAAAAAAAAATCAGGTGAGTCATTTTTATCGAACAACACTGTATTCCTATTTCCATGGTGTTGTATCGTCGTGGTGAATAATAAACAGAGAAGACTGAGTGCTTGCTATATTTATTCAGCACCTGTAACAGATGCTAACGGATACATAGAAAAAATACAGAAAAATAAGTTACAAAACAATTAATAAGAAAATTTACAAGGAATAGAGCAAGGTCAAATGCTGTATAACCAAACGAAGATCAGTCCAAATATTAATCAGCTTCGTATCAATTTACTAATCAACTTATTAATCAACTGTTGAAGTAAACTATAGCCAGGCCATCGGGTAGAGAACTGAAGGGGTACTAGCTACTCTACAACACATAGTGAATGATCTGACGAGCTACATTGCATAAGGCCACCAGTTCAGACCTTTACAACTAATACCTGCCCTGGCATATACACAACGCGGAATCATTGTTATTCTTATTCCCTTTATATTCAACGTTCCATTCAAACAGATTCTTCCCAAGACGTGTTACTTTTTGGAAGATGACTCCCAAGGTGATGATCTCACGAAAGCTAAAGCCTTATCGTCGGGAACTCTCAACAACTTTATTAATTAATACTTTATTTTGAGTGGCTCTTTACTTTCGCCATAGAACAAAGCTAAATGGTTAGAAATGAATGTTATAGATATTGTTTTGCTGTCAACATCTAATTATGGGGAGAATGCTTAAAATTACAATCCATGGCGGTCAAACGGATCTGAGTAGACGCTCTATTTTAATTTTTTCATCTTATACAAGGCCCAAGTTCCACCCAAGCTAAAGGGTTAAAGGTAAAGCGCTTGTTGTGTGAACGGTATGAGTAATGTTTGAAATTAATTTTGTCCTGAACAAGACAGAGACAAAATAAATGGAAGATCACGGTGCACATTAAAATGGATATACATTTTTCTTCTGTGTACCGTGTCCTTTCTGGGCGTGGGCAATTGTGGTTCTCCACACCTTCCTGTCCTTTTATATCTCTTAGTAATATTTATCCCCTTATGATGCCTTCCAGGCATTGTTCTACCATCCATTTAGACAAGCTGATTAGGTTGAAACTCAAAGTTTCCCTCTCCCATTCACGTGTCCGTTGAAAAATAATAAGGAGAAAAGATAGCCTAAAGAATCTCGTATCTTCTTTTGTTTCTCCAGTTGTCCGGGCTTGTTCTTTGCTTTTTATTCTTCCTTTTATATATTCTTGAATTTTCTATCTATCTATCTATCTATCTATCTATCTATCTAGATAGATGATAGATAGATAGATAGATAGATAGCTTGTCATATCTAGATATCTATCGATCTATCTGTCTGGTCCTATCTATCTATCTATCTATCGATCTATATATATATATATATATATATATATATATATATATATATATATATATATATATATATTCTTCAGGCTGTTCCTATTTGTCTATCTATCTATCTATCTATCTATCTATCTATCTATCTATCTAGATAGATAGATAGATAGATAGCTTGTCATATCTAGATATCTATCGATCTATCTGTCTGGTCCTATCTATCTATCTATCTATCGATCTATCTATCTCTCTCTCTCTCTCTATATATATATATATATATATATATATATATATGTCTTTCTCAGGCTGTTCCTATTTGTCTATCTATCTATCTATCTAATAATGTTTGTGTTGTTGTTATCTCTCCTAAACCTTGTTCTGCCAGCCATCCTCGTTAGGCAGATTATGTGCTATTTTCCTCTGTCTCTCTTGCCTTCCGTATGCCCTGTGCATGTCAAATATTCCAAGCCTCCTTCTTTCAATATGCGCCCAACGTATTTCAACTGCTTGCCGTAAAGACCACATTTTGGTAACCTGGTTTTATATCGATTGAACTCCTGGCATTGTTAATGAATCTAAAATAAACTTCGCCACATAGCAGTTTACATCGAAGTCTGATGTGTATGTACATGTTTAAGTACGTAAATTACCTCATGAAATTTTCTGAGAAAAGTAATAGACTTTGCGATGGCGAAACAAAAATATATTTTAAATAAAAAAAAGAAGGAAAGCAAAAATAAGACTTTAAGAAATAAAACCCCAAAAAGGAACCAATATTCGTGTAAAGATGTGTCAATAAATATAATGGGGCCTTTGGGTTTACTAAGACTGACATTGATAATGGACGATGTTTAAAGAAAAAAAAAGGCGAACATGCTGGTCGGGATAGGGTATGCTTGAACGAAAGTTCAACTGGATATTGGCCTTTACTTCATCTTTAAAAGATGAAGAAAGAAAAAACAAACAAACAATGGAAATAATGGAAGATGAGTAAACACACCGTTTCGTAGCGAATTGAAATGATCGGAGTTCATTTCTGGGCAACGGCATTTAAACCATGCCGCCGTTTCTTCTCCATTCTGCTTGGCAAGATGTCAGACCATGACTCAGCACTTTTGGCCAGCGATGGCAATGGCGAACGCTAGGGACGGTGGTTTGACTTGCTGGTGTTTTGGTCTTTGTTGTTGCTGTTGTTGTTCCTTCTGTAAATGCATTCGATTTATATGGCCGAAGAGAAAGGAGGGAATGTTGACACTGATCAAAGATGCGTTTGGCAAAAATTCATTCATCTATCTTTTTCTTGATAATGTTTGTGTTGTTGTTATATTCCTCAAAAGAACTGCGCGACTAAAAAAAGAGTTAATGAAAGGAAGAATGAAAAGAAACAAACAAAAACTAAAGTCTCTCTTGATCGACGTAAAATTCTAAAAATTACAAATATTGTCAAGCCTCCGAAAACAATTTCAATAAACAGCATCAAAAATCAAAGAAATTGCCGAAAAAAAGAGAGAAATGGAAGTAACCTGGAAATATCGAAAATTGAACTAACAAACAAATTAAAATCTAAAAAAGGTAAGATAGATAGATAGATAGATAGATAGATATGAACATACAGAATGATTGATAAAAAGAATATAGATAGATAGATAGATCATAGATAGATTAGATGATAGAAAAGATAAATATGAACATACAGAATGATGGATAAACAAATATATATTTAGATAATAAAAAAAAGAATGATTGATAAAAAAATAAGAGATAGATAGAAATAAAACCCAGAAATTGATAAAAAGAATATAGAGAGATAGATAGATAAATATAATGGGATAGATGGATAGATAGATAGATAGACATTGATAACATACAGAATGATTTAAAAAAAAATATAGATACATAGATGGATAGATAGATAGATAGATGAACGAATGAACATACAGAATGATTGATAAAAGAATATAAAAGATGAAGAAAGATGAACAGGCAAAAAATGGAAATAAATGGAAGACTGAGATAGATAGATAGATAGATAGATAGATGAAGATGATATGAACAGGCTAAAATACATATGAACAGACTGAGATAGATATGAACAATGATAGATATGAAGATGAAAGAGATGACAGACGTATATGTAGATATGAAATGGCAATGGATTCAAAATAGGTACAGATGGAAAGATAGATAGATAGTTTTGGTAGATTTGTTGTTGAACAGGCAGAAAATAGATAGATAAATGCATACAGATTGAGATAGATAGAAGATAGATAGATAGATAGATGTTGAGATAGATAGAAGATATGAACAGGCAGAAAAATAGATAGATAAATAGGGTACAGACTGAGATAGATAGATAGATAGATAGAAGAAAATGAACAGGCTAAAAATACATATGAACAGACTGAGATAGATATGAAAAATGATAGATATGAAAAGAACGAAATAGAAAAACTAATGTAGATAGAATCATCGACATGGATTCAAAAATAGGTAAAGATAGAGAAAGATAGATAGATAGATAGATAGATAGATAGATAGATAGATAATAGATATGAACAGCAGAAAAATAATGAATAAATAGGTACAGACTGAGATAGATAGATAGATAGATAGAATGGATAACGAAGGAAATGAACAGGCAGAAAAATAGAGAATAAATAAAACAGACTGAGATAGATAATAGATAGATAGATAGATAGATAGATAGATAGATAGATATGAACAGGAAAATACATATGAACAGACTGAGATAGATATGAAAATGATATATAGATAGATAAATAGATAGACAGACGTATATGTAGATATGAAATACAGAATGGATTCAAAAAGGAAGATAGAGATAGATAGATAGATAGATAGATAGATAGATGAATAGATATCAACAGGCAGAAAAATTGATAAAAAGAATATAGACTGAGATAGATAGATAGATAGATAGATAGATAGATATGAACATACAGAAAAAATTGATAAAAAGAAGGTACAGACTGAGATAGATAGATAGATAGATAGATAGATAGATAGATAGATATGAACAGGCTAAAATACATATGAACAGACTGAGATAGATATGAACAATGATAGATATGAAGAACGAAATAGATAGACAGACGTATATGTAGATATGAAATGGCATACATGGATTCAAAAATAGGTACAGATAGAGAAAGATAGATAGATAGATAGATAGATAGATAGATAGATAGATAGATATGAACAGGCAGAAAAATAGATAGATAAATAGGTACAGACTGAGATAGATAGATAGATAGATAGATAGATAGATAGATATGAACAGGCAGAAAAATAGATAGATAAATAGGTACAGACTGAGATAGATAGATAGATAGATAGATAGATAGATAGATAGATAGATAGATATGAACAGGCTAAAATACATATGAACAGACTGAGATAGATATGAACAATGATAGATATGAAGAACGAAATAGATAGACAGACGTATATGTAGATATGAAATGGCATACATGGATTCAAAAATAGGTACAGATAGAGAAAGTTAGATAGATAGATAGATAGATAGATAGATAGATAGATATGAACAGGCAGAAAAATAGATAGATAAATAGGTACAGACTGAGATAGATAGATAGATAGATAGATAGATAGATAGATAGATAGATATAAAATTCAAGAATATATAAAAGAAAGAATAAAAGAAATGAAGAGGCACATACAATAAAAGAAACAAAAGGAAAGAGATTCTTTAGGCTATCTTTTCTCATCATTGTTTTTTTTTTTAATCATTTCACCCCAAGCAAGGTGAGGAAGCTCCTAAGATACCCGCAAAAATGCTGGAAATAGAGAAAAGCTTAGAAGACTTCAATAATGAAAAAGAACAATAAAAGAACTCTAATTCTTTGAGACCTTATACGGTGATTGACGCTGCATTTGTTTATTTGAAGATTGTCGGTGCCTTTGTAAGCAAGCAATCGGAAAAGAGTTCAATGGCTGAAAGGAACCACCAGAATAGAACTTACGGTTCCATCCAGGTATTTCAACAGTAAAACGACGAGACCTCCTTGCCAATTTAAATTCACACGGTCGAGCTACAAATGTCGAGTGCAATATTTATTCTGTGAAATACAGATGTGTGGCAAAAGGAGCTAGCCGCAATGACTGACCCAAGCAATTACCATTCTTACTACACCCACTGAAATACTCCAGACTCACTATGAAATCCCAAGTAGTCCTCATATATACAATTTTGTTTGTGGGTGGCGGGGTATAATGTTGACCATGTTCACCATAGTCTATGAATATAGAATACAGCGCGGTACATAATCTGTTCAATGAAGCAACGTTAAAGATTAACACTTACGAGTCAGACACTCTAGTGAATCTGACTATATCGCCAATACCACCAGCAGCTGTTCCGTAATTCTTCAGGCTTCGATATCAAAGGCTGGCAGACGAATATTCAGGAAAGAAAACATGGCCGCCTTTATACACGTCGCATTGAATATTTTGAGCCTTCTGATTGGTTAACCCTTCTATTGGTGAACTATAAAATGAGTCAGCTAATTTTGACTTGCTCACTAGTACACCAGGGTACCCCAAAATTCTAACATATAAAAGAAAATTCTAAATCCAGTGTGTATTTACAGTGTATGGTATATGCATTTTACAATAAACTAAACATAATAGTGTTCGTATTAACCACCCAAATATGCACACACTTATTAATTTTTGAGGAAAACCTCAGTCGTCTGTACGGAATTAATGCGGATCTAAAATAATTTCAACCAATCATTCGTCCATCCACTCACTCAAATACACTCTGATTCAAACACATCAATAAATACGAAATACATACTCGAAATACGAAAGGCGTTCCGCATCTACCAGAGAACTGACATCTCTGGTAACCTAACAGTATAGGGGAGCGTGAATTAAACTAAAGAAAGAATCAACATTTAGAGAAAAGACAGAAAGAAGCAACGTCATGTGTCCAAGCAATTTCAGTTGCCTCTTATTTTAAATATGATTTTTCTCCGTAAAACTGCATCGCTGCTCTAAGGTACTGTTTATAATTTACCTTAATATGCACCAGTAAGTCTACAGCTGTGTTACTTAAAATCTTTTCCTCATCTATGTCTAAATCGATAAGCATTTATTCTCATAAAAGTAACTAGATATTACATAGCAGTTCAGGGTTAAGTCTAGTCTTATTTGTAGAATGCACATTTCGCTCTTCTTGTATGACGTCGTCTTTAAGTATAAGTTTCTTTATTTACATTATTTAGATTCGGACTATTATCCTTATCGTTTTTATCACGAAGTTTTCGCCTTCTTCACGATGTACAGGCAGTGGAACGAGTACAGGCTACCCCCGTATATGAAATATCCGTATATGAAATAAATGTTTCCGTTCAGAATTCCCTATAGGTTCCTGTTGTGGAGTAGCTGAACACCCCCACAAGACTATGCTTGTCGATTCTCTGCTTGTCGATTCTCTACGTTCGGGCGAAGAGGAACCCAGACCCGGCTAGCCGAAAGGAAGAGTCTCGTCTGGATTGGTAGACAGTGATCGAAACCTGTATGCGGGGTCTACGGGAAATTTTTGCCCGAGCGTAAGCGCTCCCAAAGCCCCACGTTAAAAATCTGCCTTGTGTCACATATCGCGTTGTGGGTAAACATCGAAAAGTTAACCATTAATACATTAGTCTGTGTTCTGAACCGTGTACCATATTATTCTCCGGAATAAACTTCTTATTTTCTATATGAGTGTCAACCTTTTCTATTTACGACACAACAGGGACGAAGATCGATATACACATGAGGAAGGCCAGGGAGAACATTGGTCCAAAACGCTGTGATAAAAACACCAAATATGAAGACAATAGTCCAAATATCAATAGTGTGAATATTGATAAATACTCATCCCAGAAATTCAAACATGAATATTCAGTTTCTTTGCAGTTTATTTTATTTGAGACTTCCACATTACTCACATGTTCTGTCCGTAATATTCCCCCTATTCGTCGGTGAATCAAATATAAAAAAAAAGAGAGATCCTTTTCTGTCTTCCATCAGCACGGCTGATGCTAACCTCCAAGAATGTGACTCCTTGCGCCTACTCGGATTAAAGTTTTCCGCTGTCATGAAGGGGAAAATTTATATTGAATCAAACGCAAAGTCTACTGCTAGACATTTTTTTACTCGCTACAATCTCTCTTACATATATAAAGGCGATCATTCTTCCATGCATTGAATATTGCTGTCACATCTGGTCTGGTGCTTCTGCTTTGTATTTAGAGATTCTTGGTAAAATCCAACCAAGAATCAGCAATATTATTAGTCCTGACCTAGCATCTAGGTTTCAGTCACATTCGCACTTTCATAGCGATGACTTCCTGTGCCACTATAAACATTTTCACCGTAATTGTTCTAATGAATTTTCATCTTTGGAACCGCGACTTTACAAATTTAAGTGCGGTACTCGATTGGCAGTTAGGTTTCATCCGTTTACAGTTGATATGGCTAGAGGTAACAGTAAGTTCTACGCTAAGATTTTCTTCACCAGCACCTTCCGTCCTTGTTCAGCATTTAAGCTACGCTTAGTAAATTATATTTGCATTTCGACGTGCTGTAAAGGTGAGCGAGTTTGTCTCTCTAAATTAATTAAGACTGAATAGGGAGTTTAATTCATTTATACTCCGGGCTCGATACTTCTGTCTTTGTGCCACCTTTAAGCATGAAAGAAAGATTTTCGCACCGAACCGATAAAAGAAAGGAAGGAAATCGACAACGATTTAAAAAAAAAACCCGACATGTTTGCAATTTTCCTTGCCGTTTTCTGTTATGTATTTTCGATCCATGGTGGAAATTTGTGGAGATGCGTTCTGTCCTTTTAACGCCAAATTCGACGCTTTATTCGCTGTTCTTCACTCAGATTGTAACCATGGAAACTTGTGGAAGTAAATGGTATCAATTCGTACTGAATGGAATTTTAAAAATGGAAAAGGAGAAAAATATTCCCATGATTCTACTCGATTGCTTAACAAGAAACAAAATGGTTAAGCGCTATGGAAGAATATTGTAAAAAAAGACACGATAACAAACAATAGTAACAACGAAATGCACTTACAGATTTTATACAAAAATATTCCTGCTATTGTTCTAAACAGTATTTCATAAAACTACGTTCAATAACATGATAGTTCTTGTCGATTCAAAGGATTTTAACGAAACGTTTAAAAAGTTTTCAATGTAATTTACAGGTTTTAAATTAACATTGAATGTTTTATGTTAACATTTAAAGGTTTCAAAGTAATTTATATATACCTTTCTATCGTTGGAAAAACTTTAACCTCCCGCGTATATATATATATATATATATATATATATATATATATATATATATATATATAGTAAACAAAAAAACATTAAAGTCAACACTCAGAGGCGACATGCTGTTTCATACTAGGAGCAATCGTCAGGCCGCCTGACGATTGCGCCTAGCATGAAACAGCATATATATATATAATATATATATATATATATATATATATATATATATATATATATATGTGTGTGAAAAGTGTATATAAATATAAATAAAATATATATGTATAATTATTTATATATTATATGCGCGGTACTTATTAGAAGCGCTCAATATCAGAGATAGAGCTAACATATTTGGTTGGATAGATGTGAGTTTGTGACCCTGGGTTTCACTGTTTGTCTGACGATCGCTAAAGCGTGAAACCCAGGTCACAAACTCACATCTATCCAAATATAAATATATATATATATATATATATATATATATATATATATATAAAGTAAACATTAAAAAACATTAAAGTCAACACTAGAGGAGACATGTTGTTTCATGCTAGATCAATCCTCAGGCCGCCTGACGATTGCGCCTAGCATGAAACAGCATATATAGTATATAATAATATATTATATATATATATATATATATATATATATATATATATATATATATATATTCAGCACTTTCTCCCATAAATATAGCAAACCTTAAAACTATATTTCTTTTTATATATATATATATATATATATATATATATATATATATATATATATATATAAAGAGAAAATGTCTAATTTTTGTATTTCTAGAGATTGTCCGTTTCAAAAACATTTTATCACCGATAATTCTTGTAAGTATATTTGTATATAGAGAAAAGAGAAGACGCGTCTGTATTTGGTTATAATGTGGGATTTGTTTTTATTTATTTATTCAATTTTTAAAAATATATATTATACTTTATTTTTACATTTTTTTTTTGCTGCACGTGTTTCAAGTCTTTCGACCTTCATCATACGGAGATGGTTATTTCCACATATTATTTAAAGGAATTATTTTTTCTTTATTGCTTTAAAATTAATTCCTTTAATCAAATTAAAAATATATATATATATACACATGAAAAACAAATATATGGCAATCTCTATACAAAAACGTCCTTGTAGAGAAATGCTAAAATCTAC